TWAAWTTYYYCYYYTTYMRKTTRAGCCCAAGGYATCTTCAGYRTGCCCAGTGTGTGCAAAAGTGAGACCTGAGCTCTGGGCCTGCTGGGGTGTGGGCTGTCCTGACACATAGAAGAGTTTTATAAAAATAAAATTTTCCTATCATTGACTTACTCAGTGGTCTGAAGATTGGTGCTACTTGGTCCACAGGTAGCTAAAGAGTTAGCTAAAGGCAAGTGAAAAAACCCCAAGCCCATTATGAGGAGATTTAGATTTGCAGTATGAAGATATGAATCTCCAAAAGTTAAATTTAGGACACACACAATTAATGGGATTGAAAATGGGTGTGCTTAAACTGGGAATATTAGGTGACACCGGAGGCGATTGGTAATATTTACACCAGCTAAAATTCATGCTGTAAGAAGACAAACTGACTGTGAATTTGCATTCAGTGCATGAAAGTCTTTCAGTATTTTTACAGAAATTACACCTGCTTTTTATTCCACTTCTAGGTGGTATTCAACATTCGGTAACATGCCTTCCACCAAACCTCCCAATGAAAATGAAACATCCAAAGAAAGAAAACCAGGACTGAGGAGTGTTCAGACAACTATGCTCTTCCGAGCTGTGAACCCAGAGCTTTTCATTAAACCTGTAAGACARTCGTTCTGAAAGAAACTAAATATGCTTGAAGAGATACAGTTGCTTTAAAGTAATCATCACAATTCCATGTGCCTTACATAACCATGTCTTGTTTGCAAACCACTCTATTTTAGTTAGAAATGTAACTAAAAATATTTTTACTTTTTTCCACTCAGATTAAGAGCCAGAGCATTAGATTGTTTATTGCAGCTTTTATTTCACTGTTATATTGTCTGATTCTTCTGTACCTAGTTAAGTTGTTTTCAGAAAGACTGTTTAGAGGCATATTATCCATGCAATTTGACAGATTAAGTAATAGGAATTGTTTTTAATATTTAAAAGGGATCAAAGCATAGAATTCAAACTTTTTTAATACGAAATGAAGCGATTTTTGGTAGCTTTTCAATGCTATGGTTTTTTCTTTTAAGTTGATGATAGGTTTTATTTGCATTCGCAGAACCCAGCAATGAGTGAAATTTAGTGCATATAATAAATATAGATTTAATATAATAAAAGTAGGTTTTTGTATGTTATAATAATACAAAATCTGGTATAGAGGGTTGTAATCAAGGTTGCTTGGCAGGAACCAAGAGTGCATTGTTCCTGTAGCACATCCAGATGAAATCTGTTAAAAGTTTATAGTAGAGACCTTTAGTAATTGGTTTTGGCTTGTTCATTCATGCTCAAGCAGCATTTCCAGCCAGCAAAATACAGAGTACTGGGAAATGTGCTGTTTGTCTCCAGAAAGAACYTTATTTTTCAAAGGGAATTCCTTCTGCGGTCAGAAAATTCAGTCTGCAAGAAGGCAGCGATGATTTTTTGCAGAGGTCACATTAGTTTACTGTTCACTTTCTAAGCTGAGATAGAAGAATGTAATGTTTGAGTTTAATGAAAACTGTTTTGACTAAAAGCGTGTACTAATTTTTTTTCTTGTCAGAACAAACCTGTGATGGCATTTGGACTGATAGCAATTAGCCTTTGCGTGGCCTACCTTGGTTATTTGCATGCAACAACAGAGAATAAAAATGACCTCTACGAAGCAATCGACAGTGAGGGGTCCAGGTATATGAGGAGGAAAACTTCCAAGTGGGACTGAGWATGTAAGAAAGGAAATCAGTAAATCAGTCACAGAACTTTTCAAGGCAACTGCTGTTTTTTCTCTTTCCATTTAAGTAATGGTTAMATGTCTCTCTTGCTATTTAATCCAATTCAATAATCAATCCAATTTATAAAATGCTGTGCGTGTATACAAATAAACTGCAGTAAAGATACATGTGAAAATAAAAGTGATTTTAAGTATTGCTGTCTGCAGTCTCCACARAGATCATTGTCAGAAAACATGAAATCACCTCAGACCTACAGTCAGGACTGGTAAATGCTTTCAAAACTAACATGGTAGTTCAGCTTTCTTTTTGCTTTGATCAGATGAAATCAAGGATTTATTTTTTTAAGAGAAAGTGTAATGTATTTGCTGTAAAAAGAAAAATTGATATCTAATCAATTGGTAATAGTGGTGCAAATAAACTAATTTTAGGGCAAGGAAGATCTGATGCAGCAAGTGGTAAAGGGTTTTATTTAATAAAGGAATCTGTAAAATACTGGCCAAAATAATCCTTGGATGCTGAATTGGATGCTCTTCCTTACAAATAAAAAAGTGAATCAGTGGCCAGATAGAAGAGAAAAAGTGAAACGAGTGCTTCTACTAAGGGAAAGGTGGGAAGAGCTCAGCCATTACCTTTCTGTTTGGTATCATATGACGGATAAGTGAGCATGCTGGCATCAGCCTGCCATTTGATAGGTTTAACTCCAGATTGTCTAGACCTTGTGTAATATTCTTGACTAGTCAGCAGGATTAGTTTTACTTAAGCTGCATTCAAAAATTAATTTTCTCTATATTGCAAAGTATGTTATGTTTACATTAGTTTATTGCAGGTTACTGGAAGACTGGAAAGTCTAAAATCCCCAAGTACTGCTGTGAGTGTGCTGGAGAGTGGGTGGGCATTGTGGCATTTTCTTAGCATATGTGGTGCTCCCTTGTGAGCCTTTCAGCAAACTACACAGGCAAGTGTCTTCCTGTTCCAGCACTCAGTCCTTCTGCCATGACCTTCCCAGCTGCCTCTGGGTGCCTGACATTTCCTCGACAGTGTCCCGTAAACCAAACTCCAGAACATGGTGAGAGGGCACATACAGGCTGTGTTCTGTTTCTACCCCTGTTGATGTTCTGTTGCATTTTTCCATGTTTACAGCCCCAGCAAGGGCTCCTAGCAAGCTGAGAGACCTCTTTGTCGACCCTWTTTGGACCACGGTGTCCTGAGCAAGGTCAGGCCAGAGAAAGAAAATACAGGAACATCTGTTTTGCTGCTCTGGGAATTGCTTTGGGTTTTATCAAAAGATTTTGGTACTGAAGATAAAAAGGGTGACTGACTGCCTTGAGGGATAGCAGCTGCACTATCAGGTTTCTCTATATCTCCCTCTAAGTCGTTCACTTTGGATCTGTGATTTTAGTCCTGTYCTTGTTTTATAGTTAACTGTATCCTAAATTCAGAAGGGTTTTTGCTTAGCTACACCTTCCTGAGAAGGGACATGAACTCTGCCTGTGATAAAGCTTTTTTAAAAAAGGGCATTTTTGTAGCCTTTAAAAGCAGATTTCCCTCTGTGAGCCTGCTGCCCTACAACAGCAAAGTTCCTGAGCAAATCTAAGTTTACAGGTGAGAAAACTACTTGCCTTTTGATTGATGAAGGAATTTCCAGGTGAAATGATCAAATAGTCAGAAGTCTGACATGCTGTGTATATCCTGTAGAATATATTTTGTTTGGTGTTTGTGATGGATCTTTAGAATAAGTCTGGTTTTTTTTTMAATGGCCACACAGGATTTTAGCTCTTTTCAGTTCATTACAATGCATAGGTCTCATATGTTTGCATGAATTTAACTAAACTATTCCCAAACCAGTATTTCAGTAGGCATTTTTACCTGTGTTTCTGCAGGCTTTWAAAATACACACTTTGATCCTCTGCAGATGTCTGCAGATGAATTGAGAGAAAGCCTACTCTCTTATTTTCATGTATTTGAGAACAATGTGGGATTTGGGTTCTCAAGATTTTCTGTTATGTTTTGTGAAGTGAATGTGCACCTGGCAGTTACTGGGGAAGAGGAAGTGGGGCAGGGTGGAATAAAAGATAAGAAGACTGACCTGGACAGGGTGTAAGCATGTGCATGCCAGTGACACTTCTTACAAAAGCTGTCTGAGATGGGACCTCTTGAATGTTGGCTGGAGTCAAGTCCTGTTAACCAGGTTACTTTAGAACAGCCAMGGTTGAAGGAAGAGTGAGTATTTAAATTTATCCTCTTTTTTTTTGTGGCAACTCTGTACAGGTAACTCTTAATGACACAAAATTTATATATAAAAGGGAGTTAAAGCAGTGCAAATACAGAGAGGAATGTGGTAGGTTAATGGATTTTACAGTATCAACACAGGCATTTGCTGTTTTAAGTACCTGATTTTTATCATAAGAACAATGCATGTAGTGATTAAAGGGAAAAAAAACCACCACCGAAACAAAACTGCTTTGATAACAAAATTTGTTTGCTAAGCTCTGAAAGCATGACACCCCTTATGAATCTGGAGGACAAATACACAGAACCAGTATAATTTCTTCTGTTCTGTGTTTCTCAGTTTCAGTCTTCAATATAGTGATAATCATCTATAATGGATGATAACAGGCTTGACGGGAACTGTGAGTCAGAATGATTTCCTGGGCAGAGCCCTGATTTCAGATATTYGCCAGTTCCTTACTGTCTGTTCTGTCTTTCACATCTTTTGCTAAGAACATCTTTTACATACCAACAAAATGCTGTGATTAAAATACCAGAAACWGTAGCTGTTGTACTGCTCCTAAGGTCTCCTTAGACTATGTGGTTTAAATGGGAGTTTTTGGCATTCAACAACAAAAAGCAATTAAACTATTAAAAGGCCAAAGCCCACTGTGATGCTTCTTAACTATCACCCAGAAATTTAGTTGTTTGTGGGTGAAACCAGCCCAACCCAGTTACAGTTGCTACATAGGAAGCTGTATTCAGGCTGGAAGAGGTCACTTCATTAAATCCTCCCTTATCATCTGTCTCTTGCATGTTACTGAGTTGTCAGCATGTGTGAATTCTAATCAGAAAGCAGATGTTTCAGCTAACTTTGTAAAAAGTGATTGCCAGTGACTCTCTCTTTTCACCAGCTTCCACGTTTTCTGTAGCAGCAGTAAGAGTTTTGTCTGCAAAAGAGATCTGTCAGGAATAGAGTTCTGACTGTTTAGTAACTCTTACAGAACAATACTGGTACACTATGATGATTAGAAGTCCTGATCTGGATTTCTTTGTGCTGTGTGTTCAAAAAGGATACCACACTACCTCCCAGTGCTACTTTTAATTGGATTCAGGAGTATAAGCCTTACAGAAACACGGTGTTAAACTCATCGTAAGATACTGGGAAGGTTTGTTCTGAAATAGTTTTCTTGAAATCTGAGATTTAGGAAAATCCCAAAACCTCTTGATTCTATGTGGTCTGGCCAGTCAGGAATTCATTCACATCTTGGTAAGAAAGAASGGCATGTTAGTAACTCCAGTATATTCAGAGGGGGGACAGGGTCAGCTGTTCTGCGGTGCATGAGGCATTCAGATTTAGGCATAATGAAGTGTGAAAACTSTAGCAAAGTAGCTGCAGGTGCTAAAACATTAGCAAGTGTTTTTAAAAGCTCAAGTACTTTGGTAAGAACTATGTTTGATTTGAAATTTGTGCAGATCATCCTTCAACAGGACACAGCTGGGATGTTTTATCCTGAATCTTGCCTTCTTACATGTGATTCTGGCTCCTGATCTCAGACTGATGCTCTGTACCATCTCTTGAGGTTTGATTTTTTTCATGGTGTACTACAATGATAACCTCAGTGATGGAGCGCTTATGGTAGCATTCATAAGTTTGAGGATCTAGCAATAATCTCAAGTGTATGCTATATCTAATTGTCATAGAAATTCCTGCTCAGCAGTGTAAAGTTGTGAAGAAATCACTTTGTGTGGTTTTTTGTTTTTTTTTTTTTTTTAATGTGTGTTGTGAAGAACAATGTGGTTGGTTTCTATTTTAAACAATATCAAGGGTTTATTAGTGTCCTGAGAACCTTGGCAGCAGGGTGAGTGCCATGCATGCCTGGGAACATGAGGCTTCAGCTCTGTGTCGACATGCACAGTGTGAAACACACCCAGAAGGCCAGAGGCCTTCTCTTTTTCACCTATTTTCGCTTCACTGCTTGATAAAATGGACAGGGGAAGAGCTGTGCCTTCAAAATACAATATGCTTTAATTATTGTGAAAATAGCCAGCATGACAGAACTGAATGACAACCAATATTGCAACTGAATTTTTTAAAAAAACCCCTTTGTTTTGTTTTGTTTTTTGTTTTGTTTTGTTTTGTTTTGTTTTGTTTTCAATGCTTGCCATAACCATGACCTTTATTCACCTGAGATTTGAACTCCAGTGTCAGAAGAAGTACTTAGCCTGAAAAATGAATGACTTTGTGCTTGATGAGATGTGAGCTTAAGCTGACTGGATTTTTAATTCACTTTCAGAAAATTTCAGTTCTTTTTTTTTTTTTAATTGAATGAAGTTTATAGACTTCATTGGAAGATCATTGTTTGGCCTTGTTTCAGCCAGCAAGAGAACCTGATTAGGTACATTTCCTGAGGGCAGTAAAATACAGGCTTAACTTTAAATCTGTCCTGAAGKTTTGTGTCCATCAAAGCTAAACAAGTGTTTAACAGATTTGCTTAAGTGTTGGTTTAAGTGGGGTGGAGGAGAAAGAAAACTGCCAGCATATGTATATTCCTAAATGAAGCATGGCAGCTGTAGCTTTATGTTTCTCTATATGCTTGGCTCATGCTTTATAAGGCTTTTTGGATATCTGAGAAAAGACTGRAATACACAGAGATCCTTCTGGATCTGAGCCTTCCTCCTTTCTGCACCACTTCACGGGGCTTTGTAGTGCTGGAGCATCTGAGCGCTCCTCAGCCAGGCATTACGCAGCATGTCTGACACCTGTCATCCTTAGTCTTGCAGCCTCCCACCAGATGACGAAGGGCTCACAGAATTGCTGGARTGTTTTGCTTTGGAATTTTATTTTATACAAATTTCTAAATAGCTATCTGTTTATATTGCAGGTGGTCAGAGCTACACACTTGGCATCTGGAGGAAAAGCTGGGAGGTCTTAAGTTTTTAACAGAGTTCATTCCATTTTATGGAGCTGTTTTCCAAGCAGCTCTGGCTGTCATAGTATCTGTTGACAATAGCTGGCAGAAGCTTAGTTCGTAGTTTTTAACCATTGAATCACTTGCCTTAAGCCTGTTATATATCTTCATAGACCTGAGTGCTCAGGATTTGAACATCTACTATT